CGCAAAACTCAACAAAACGCAGGAAGGACATGGCGCGCAGAGGGGGGGCGCACACTGCTCTATACCCGTGGAACCGGAAAATGCCGCAGCGGTGCGCATTCGCTCCTAAACAAAAAAACAAACCTCTGCTGCCAGGTGCGAGACAAATGTGAGACAAGGCGAGACAACACGCGACTATCCCGCCAGAGACGTTTTGCGGCTGCCGGATGATTACGCTCATTGGCGCGAGACAAACGCGAGATATGCGAGACAATGCCGAGTCTTTGCCCCGCTCTCCGGCGCGAGACAAATGCGAGACATGCGTCTGATGTCCCCAATCGCCTATAGCGGACCCAACAGCCCCATCGCAGGAAGTCTGCCAATAGTGTGTAGTCTTGTAAGCCCGCCCTCTCCGCCATTCTCAACTTTTTGAGCCGAACAATCCTGCGGGTGCGCGGATGTCTTCCAAAAACCAAGCGTTCATAACTAGAACCTAAGTACGCTAAGTCTGTTCTCATGATCTACTTCACGTCATACTTACGACATACTTCTAAGTGTACATATAGGTTTGGCGCATGTACTGTAACTCCAGCACAAGTCTGTTTTACGTGCCATAACCTTTGATGTACTTATCATACTTATGTGACTTATGTGCATACTCATCGTCGTTTATTTATACATTATCTATATATATATATATATATATATCATCGTTATAACTATACTTATAAGTACAACGCCTTCCGACGCACTCCGGACCCACCCTCTGGATGTGCAACATAAAGCTGCGGTTTGGCAGTTTCCCCCATCGCTGGACTTGAGATGTGGTTGAGACCCTCCAATGTTCGCCACATTTTCGATCATGTTGGATGTTCCACATCCTGGGGCGGATGGGCTCCGTGGCCACTCCACGCACCCAGGAACAGACGTCGTAGACGCGAGGGCAAAAGACGAGAGAGATCGCGGTGATCGACGTGGACGTGATCGTAATCGTTGCCTGACGAGGGTGCGCTTGATGCGGATCGAGACCAATTTCGGCACCTGTTCTGCCGTAGTATCTTAAAGCTTCTGGCCCACAGACCACCCTCACCTATCCCGGCAAGTCCTCAAACATGCGCTCCGACGAATTGCTGTGTCCGTTACGTACGCCTGCAAGGTCCCGCAGATGGCCGTTTCTTTTCCCGTTCGCCCGTCCTGAGGCGATCGCCACCGTGACCGGAGCCGGCGAGGGGACGATCGACGGGACGCTTGGCCGAACTGAGCCCGGAGGGCTGACATTGCTTTGTACGGGGTCGCCGCTCTCACCTCAAATCCATGCTTTGGGTAGTGTTTTTTCTCCATGGAGGGTCTCCAACTCCATTGGGCTCCGCTGCTCCGAGAGTTGGCTCCAGGGCCCTGGCTTCAGCCAGTTCTGTGCCAATGCGGCGCCTGCCAAGCAGCGCGCGGTGGCACCGCAGGTGGGGCATGAGGAGTCGCCGCACATGTTTGCGACATGTGCTGCCTTTGGTCCGAGAGGGCTAGCGAAGTGAGCTTTGTGTGTTCCCAGAGATAGTTCTAAAGGTTAGCTACACTGAAATGTGACCAACACTGGGGGCTACGAAGGAAGGCAACACGGATTAAAGGCAAGTGGATGTTCTGCCACCAGTTGGAAGAACACGTTCCACAGAAGGCTGCCATTTCAGACAGACATTTCCATGGGTGTTCCTTTTTATGAGGAGTCCAACATGTCAAACGGCTGAAGAGTGGATGGTGGGCTTGCCCGAAGTTGGCCAAGGCTGGTGTTTTGGAGCCCAATTAGTAATGGAACTCATATTTTTCTAGGATTTTTTTCGTTTTTTTTTGGATTTTTTCACGTTTAGGCATTAATGTTGACTCTTGATTTATAAACTCCCCCCCCCCCCCC